CAGCTCACAGCAAATGCTTACATTTGCTTAATGATAGCATTCCAGCAGAGCCCTTTAAAGGTTTATTTGTTTTTCTGCGAGTGTGTATTTAGGGATAGCGATATAGGTATGGAGAATAGTAGGTTTTAAAATTCATATAAAGCTTTCATTTATTGAGTGCATACTTTGTGCCAGGCTTTGTAATAGGCTTGGGGAATGCAGAGATAGACCTACCACAGAGCAGAATTTCAGTAAATAATTGTTGAAGGACAGGAAAATGTTGGGAAGAGGTTATAATCCCTACCCTCTAGAAAGTGGCAGAAAGGTAAATAGTATAACACGAGATGCCATAACTGAGGTGCAGTATGTGAAGCAAGATAGGAATACAGAGAATTGAACACATAGTGAATCCAACTGAGATGGAAAGCAATTTGTAGATTAGCTGCTAATGTTGTGCATTATTGAAATACCAAAAAAATGAATTGCAGGCATTTGGTTCTTATTTTCAATTATGATCTCTATTTCACTTTTGGCAGAATGGATTTTTCCCTTTTTTACTAAATATAACTGCAGAGGAGACAGCTTAGGAAACCAAAGATCTAATTACTTTCTTGTGTTCCTGTTATATTTCCCTAATTGCTGTTAGTAAAAAGAGCCATTTTTAAAATTTAATTGCATTTCTTCCCTTTTACAATTTCTCACAAGGTCCTCTTTATCTTTCCCAATTAGAGGTGGAGGGGTAAGTAAATGCTACTTCATGTTTGTTTGTTTTTTAGCTCATACAAAATTCTTGTTTAGTTTTTTGGGCTCTTGAATACTAGGTAAATGGTACACTATTAATAAAATCATTCCCAAAAGATTAATGCAGTTTATTTTTTAACCTAATATGTATTTTATATTTTAAAAAGATTACCTTTTTATTTTTATTTGTTTATTTTTAAATGTTTATTTATTTTTGAGACAGAGAAAGAGCATGAATGGAGGAGGGTCAGAGAGAGGGAGACAGAATCTGAAGCAGGCTCCAGGCTCCGAGCTGTCAGCACAAAGCCCGATGCGGGGCCCGAACTCACAGGCTGTGAGATCATGACCTGAGCCAAAGTCAGATGCTTAACCGACTGAGCCACCCAGGCGCCCCAAAAGATTACCTTTTTACAATACTCACTTTCAGAATGACATCCAGTATTTATGAGGTCATCTAGATAGGAACATCAAACACGTGGGCATTCTGAAAAATCATGCTGTAAATTGTGATTTTTTTTTTAATTTTTTTTTCAACGTTTTTTATTTATTTTTGGGACAGAGAGAGAGACAGAGCATGAACGGGGGAGGGGCAGAGAGAGAGGGAGACACAGAATCGGAAACAGGCTCCAGGCTCTGAGCCATCAGCCCAGAGCCCGACGCGGGGCTCGAACTCATGGACCGCGAGATCGTGACCTGGCTGAAGTCGGACGCTTAACCGACTGCGCCACCCAGGCACCCCTAAATTGTGATTTTTAAGCTAACAAGAAAAAGCACTGTCTTAAACCTACCCTGTTTTCTATGAGGCAAAGAATCATAGTTTTTCCTGTCATTGAACAACTGAAATTTGTTGATGTTGGGCAAGTATAGCCTCAACCTGTCCTGACAAGTTTGCACTGTAATCTATTTGTAAAGGAATCGGTAGTCTCATTCTATTTCCATGCATTGTCTTTCACGCAGTTATTACAAACACAAAGAAAATCCAGGTCTTTATTGCCTGAGAACAGAGTCTCTGATAGATAAGTGAATTTGTTTCGAAGTCACCATTGGCCCTTTGTTCTGCTACACTGTTGAGCCAAAGAAAGAGATCTGTGTATGTTTAACTAATTGATACCTAAATCTATCTATTAAGCTCATATTGGCCATTCTTGAGATTTTTAATTTTTTTTTTCCAACATTTATTTATTTTTGGGACAGAGAGAGACAGAGCATGAACGGGGGACGGGCAGAGAGAGAGAGGGAGACACAGAATCGGAAACAGGCTCCAGGCTCTGAGCCATCAGCCCAGAGCCTGACGCGGGGCTCGAACTCACGGACCGCGAGATCGTGACCTGGCTGAAGTCGGACGCTTAACCGACTGCGCCACCCAGGCGCCCCAAGAGATTTTTAATTACTTACAAGAGGAATGAATCCTGTGAATCTTAAATTGGCAAATGTGATGTTTATTTCCATGCATATCTAAGGTAAATCTTTGGTGGACACTTAACATGAGAATATCAAAAATAGAAGGGACCTAAGAACCTATGTAGTCCAGATTTTCTGATTTTCTGGATTGGGAAATGAAATGCCCAGAGGAGTGACTGAATTGCCGTGGATGTTGCATTTCTCAATAGCGGTAGAGTGAGTCTCACTACAAACAATTGGATCTCAAAAATAATACTTTTCCCGTGGTTTGATCACACTCTTTGCGTGTGAATCCACTAGATGAGGTGGACACACTCTGCATTGGACTCCTCATACATCTGACAATTTTATGACTAAGAAAACACAGTATAATTAGTGTGTGTATGAATGGTCCTCTACATTAAGTCTCCATGAAAAACTCCTATTTTAAAAGCACAGAAGAAAATTTGTCACCCTTCTTTGACTACTCGTTCTCATGTTTAGCAGCCATCACTCTCAGGAAGATTTCCTTATGTCAGAAGGTTTTAAATTTGGGGTCTGTGAATCCCCAAGGAATCCATTTTATGTGGGTTGCTGAACCCCTTGAAAAATTGTGTGCAGAACTTAATTCACAGCTTTTGTAAATTCCTCAAAGAACCACTACCCAAGACCAACCTGGATTTCTTTTTGCTTTATCTTCCTTGGATGATGCTTTCTATCCTCTGTATTATGACTGCATTAATTTGGAGATTATTACTGTTTACAAATGAAGAATTTCAGGTCATTTTAGCCTTTCTCACAGATTCTTCTTCCCCCCACATTTTAAATCATATTTATGGCTATCTTTTGAATCCTTTCCAAATTCTTTGTAAACCTGAAAGGCAAGGAGCTCAGAATGAGAAATCGTTTATTAATGAAGATTTTGTTAGGAGCTTGGATCTGGGGACAGTGGTGTCAGAGGGTTAGGGGCCTCAGAAGTAAGTCTGCTGAGGTAAATACAGGAATGTGGTTCCCACTAAGGTAGACTAGGCAGACCCTAAGGTCAAAACGGAGGATAAGGAGCCCAGGTAAAACTTAAAGGATTGGGCACATTTCAAAGTTCGAAGCATGGTAAATAGATACTGAATAAAGGGAGTCAGGAAGATTGGGAGTATGAATCTAGCCCAGACCAAAAGGTGAAACAGAATCCTGTGGAAAATCTGCATGTGAACAGATTGCTACCTTTCTTAGTAAAATCAACCAGTCTTTTACTATTGAGACTCCTCACATCAGGACAGGCCACTGGACCTTGTGGCACAAATACTTGTCTCCCAGATTTTCCTTCTTCCTGCCACCTCTGCGGTCACACTGGCCTCGGAATGGTGGATTCAGGAGAGTTAGGTTCCCAAGAGATGTGAGTAATGGAAACAGTGGGATGGGGCTTACAGCTTAAGATAGAAAGTAGGTTATCAGAATCACAGACTTTTCTGGGAACCTAATGAAAATCGTGGGCTTTCTCTCCAGAAGGAAGGCACTATATACATACTGTAAAAAAGAAAATTAAACAGTTTAACCCTCCCTGAAACCCATTCATGGTTAGTAACTTCTGATTGAAAAGAATGGTATTCTATATTTCTTACCCATTTGTTTCCTGTCCTTTACCTTTATTCATGGTTTATTATTTCAGTTGCTATCTGAGCCATATTAAGGAGGATTCGGCATAGAGTTTCCACATGTGAGCCAAAAGATTAATGGGGGGGGGGGGATCGACAACACTGAGGCATGACACTGGTAACAACAGTAACTGGGGAGAGATCCTGGGACATGGTGAATTTGGGGGATAAGAATTGTATCCCCTTCTCACTGGATTATTCTTCCTGTGTTCCTAGGCTAGGATCTAGGTTTTATTTTACTAGCTAAGAAGTAGTTCCTTTATGAATAATGTAATGAGGTACTGCCACTGAGCCAGTTACGTTTTCTCTGGTTCCTGTTGGAGCATACCCAGTTCCCAGGATGGCTGGCCTGGGTCCTCCAGCAGTCGGTGAGCCCTCTGGCCAGGACGGGGTGGGGAACAGAAGAGTGTCCACAGCCTGTGCCTTGCTTATGGCTCGTTATGACTCTGTTGGTGATTTTACTCATCCGTATCTGGCAGCACGCCCTCTGACTCTATCTAGACTTGTTAAATATAAAAGACTGAATTTAGAGAGTACTTATCTGAATAATCCAAGTTGAATAAATCCCCATTTACCATAAATTTTAGGTCCTTGAAACAGAGTACTTGAATTATCCAGTTAATCCTATGTTTATATACCACTTAGAAAAGAAAAAAGTGTTCTTTTGGTTTTTTTTTTAAGTTCCAGCAAAAAAAAATCTGTGTAGAAGAAGGGATTCCCAGATGTGTAAATATTTAAATTTAAAGGTCTATGAGATGTATAAGAATCTAGTCTCTTTTGCTTTAATTTTTTTTTTCCTCCCTTTACTTGACCTTTTCAAATCCTGATTCCCCTTGAAGCCCAGTTTGGGGCCTACCCTGTCTATGAAATAGAGATAGTGGAACCTACCTACTCAGATGACATTTAGGGGTATAAATGAGATAATCCAGTCCTGCCTTTAGCACAGGGCCAGGTACATAATAAGTAATATTATCTGTTAGCTGCAATTGATGATAATGGTTATGATCAAATACTCTGATCAACATTTAACCTCCTTATTCTCTATTCATAAAAAATATTTACTGCCTGTTCCACTTCTTGACACGTACTATTCTAGTTTAGATGTGATTATCTCTGTAATGAGACTGCAAACTCTTGGAGAGGCAAGGATCGGCAATACAAAATTTGCTGAATTGGTTTGAAAGTTGGCATTTACTTGCTTTAGAAGTCACGCAGTCTTCATTTTGATTTTTTTTTTCTCAACAGAAAATGAAAACACTAGCAGAAAGGAGGAGGAGTGCGCCATCTCTTATCCTGGATAAAGCCCTACAAAAAAGGCCCAGTACCAAGTAAGTAAATAGCTTTGTAGTACACATTTGGCAAGTGCTACGTTTTTCTTTTTTTTTTTTTTTCAATGTATGGGGTTTTTTGTTTTTTATCAGCACCAGAATTCTCTGTTTAATAATAGAAAATATGACTTCTGTTCTGATATTATTTAAGAAGGGCTGTATTTTATGTGAATCATACAGCCTTTTAGAGCTGGTCTGTGATCAGATGCAAGAATCTCACAGCACATAGTACACAAATGTGCAGGCCTCCGCGTATTGGTAAAGTTTATTTATAGAAACAAGTAGCGATCAGAATACTAAAAGATGAGTTATTTTAATCACCATATATCTTTGGTAACACACGAACTTTAGCTTATTTTTTATAATGTGATGCTTGTGCATGGGCATAAGGTAAATTTTTACCAATTTTAGATATGAAGAAAGATAACCCAAGTTGAGATTATAAAAAACGGAATGCTGATTTCTTGTGTGCATTATTAAATTAATTAGTGAATTAATCAACAGAATTTGAAGTGGAAAAACAGGCTAATTAGCTGTTGAAAGGGCCATTTCACCTACTGAGGCTAAATACCGTTTCAATAGACATTTTAAGAAAGTCTTTAATAAGGTGTAGAAATTGAATGAATATTGCATAATTAACTTATTCGTTAATCTTTAAATGGCATTTTAACCAGGAGTTTTTATGTTCAAAGGAATCCTGTGATGATTTCCTCTAATCTGTGAATCCTTTTATATAAAGTGAAGTCCTTATCCCCTTTACTTAAAGTGAGGGTATATCTGGTATTTCTGTGAATGATGTGCTAATTTAACATAAAATCTGTATGGAGGCATGAATTTTTTTCAGTGCCAAAAAGAAATTATATAACCAAATCCCGATTAGTGAAAATTTCAAAATACTTCAGTCTCTCTCTTAGGACTCATCATTGTCTCAGACTCAGGCAGCTCCTCAGCCTGCCACCAGAAGACACACGCTTTAGTCGTTGGGTTGATCAGGAAATGAAAATAACTTTTAATAGATGCCTAATTGGGGCGCCTGGGTGGCGCAGTCGGTTAAGCGTCCGACTTCAGCCAGGTCACGATCTCGCGGTCCGTGAGTTCGAGCCCCACGTCAGGCTCTGGGCTGATGGCTCGGAGCCTGGAGCCTGCTTCCGATTCTGTGTCTCCCTCTCTCTCTGCCCCTCCCCTGTTCATGCTCTGCCTCTCTCTGTCCCAAAAATAAATAAAAAACGTTGAAAAAAATTAAAAAAAAAAAAAAGATGCCTAATCAAAACTTAAGTAGGAAGATGTTCTTCTTCCAAATAAATAATATATTTCAGTGCCATTTGTAAATGACTTTTGGATTATTTTCATTAATGTATCTCTGCATTAGTATGGAAAAAAGGGAATGGTAATATTTTCAGTTTGACCCTGATTACCTAGAAAACTTAGGAGAAAGTATTTTTTTAGGGGAAGTAGAGAGAAGAGACAGAATTATTAGTACAACTGTGTATATGGATATACTCTACATGTAAAAATAGCTTTATTACTACTTTTAAAAATACAGATAAAAAAAAGTTTTAGGTATAATTTCTTACTGGAAGCTTCTGGGATAGATGTATCCCAGGCTTTTCAATTATAAGTAGCCCTTATATCAGAGAATCTTTAGCCCAAGATCAGGGGTCAATAGTGGCCCACTTATCCCCTAGGCCAGTGTGAGAACCTATAATATTTATGCATGTAGATATTTGAAGTTCATGTATACCAGTGATTCTCAGTGGGGTGGCACTAACTTCTAGGGGACATTTTGGAATTTTGTGGAGCATTTGAGTTTGTCTCAGTGATTTAGTGGACCATGGCCAGAGATGGGAGACATCCTGTAATGCACAGGGCATCCTAATATAAAAGAATTGTGTGGTTCCTACATAGCCTTAAGTATTACATGTATGGCATTTTTGTGAAGGGGACTAGAAAACTTTGTATGATTGTCCATGCCTGTAACCTAACTCTACTTTATATACAAAATATTTTTACATATTTTTATCTGTTTCAATAAACACTAAATTTTCCAGAAATGCCATGATCTTGCATATCAAAGATAGTTGTACTTTATATTGTTTGGAACCATTTCAGAAAATCACGTGATTTTACTTCATTTTCCTATATTTGTTGTATGTCATAGTTTCTTATCATCCAGCTTCTCTTAAATTTAAATATATTAAATGTAAGTAGTGTAAGCATATGACTACTTCATTGTATTTTAGTATAGTCATGCCAGGACATACGCATATTGAAATACATAATTTATTATTAATTACTTTTATTTCATTTTCTTTTATGTTGCTGTTAGGGTATTTTGATGATATTTTTTGAAATTCTGTTAAACATCTGTGAATTTCTTTTCAGGATAGAAAAGGAGGAACTAAAATGAATATATATGTGTAGACTTTAATATAACAAAGGGGAATTGGGTCTAATAGGATTGAGAACTGACAGAGATGAAGTGCCTGCCAGGCTAGAGAAAATGGTAACACTTACCCACTTTATGGGACTGTTTTTAGTTAGAGAACCGATATGATAGTACACAGCCATGCCCTTCCCCATTCCTGTCTTCCCATCACCTCTGCAATAACTGGTGCTTACATTAGAGCCAGTTCCCAAATTTATGCCTGAGATAGCGAAATATGATGGGTTTGTGTTAAAATAGCCACAGGAAAAAAGTTTATTGGAGTTGAAGCTGTACGTGTTTTAGTCTTCAGTTTGTCTCCTATGAGTTTCTCTAGGACAGTAAAGTGAGTGCACAGAGCCGGGGAGGAGGGCCTTCTCCCATCTTAAAGAAATAATGCTTCTCTCTGTGCAGTGTTAGGCGGTTAATGTGTATGAAAAGAAAGCTGTTGGGTATTGAATGTGTACAGAGTATTTGTAGGTAATGAAATCTCCAGATTGGAAAGAATCATAAAGGTCATCTGGTCTGGTGGTTTCCAGAGCTTTCTAAGTTAATGTTCTGCAGAGGTACCCAAGCAGCTGCATAATTGTCAGAAACTCTTCATGGCTGATTCTGATACACTCTTGAAGGAAAACCACTATGGCAAGCTACAAAAAAAAAATCCTTTTTTACCCCCCAAAGGAATGCTTTTAAAAAATGAATATTGAAACTGAATTTTAAGAAAGTACAGAATTGCAATACATACTTCTTATAAAACAAACAATGTGGACATTATAAAACAACAAAGTCCCTACAGGCTCCTCAGGAGTAACCACTATTAATCACTTGTTTGTCCCTCTAAACCCTTGTCTATGCAAATGTGATTAGAATGTTTATTTGCTTCCTTACTGTTTAAATTCCCACTTTAACATAATTATATAAGTTCTTTTCATTTTCAAGTCTTCAGGGTTTTTTTGTGGTTAGAGACCAAATCCTCTTATACCAACCATTTGAGAAAGCCTTTGAATTTTGTCCACCTATATATAATGTATGTTCTTGAAAAGTTACATGAATCAGACTATTAACGAACTTGCTATTTTAAAGAAATCTTATAGTGAATTGTTTTATAAAGTGAATCATTTCTTTTTCCAAAGTTGTTAAAAATAACTCATTTTCATAATTCAAGAATTTTGCTTTTCTATCAGACCCAGAAAACATGAAAAACTTCTGAAGTCCAAGCTGATAGCACACCTGTTTCAAGTAGAACTTTGTACAACAGAATTCTAGTACCTAAAAAGAATCTTTACTATTTTTTTACATGTAATATCATGGGAATTAACTTGTTAAAGAATAGAGTACTTTAGCATTTCATATTTCTTGGATGAAATACAATCATCATAACATTGCATATTTCTTGAATTATACCCTTACTTGATTTTGGCTTCGTGATAGAACCTTGATGTTTCTTCTTGTGACTTCCTGATAAGGTGTTGCTTAGTAATTAATGATGATAAAGTTTTTATCCAAAGTTTAGCAAACATCTACAGGGGATTTAAAAGAATCCCTTCACTTAACAGCTGTTGCACGTCAATTTTTATTGAATTTAATGAACAAGAGCTAGGTTTAAAAGAGAGGGAAGACTTAGGTTAGTTGGTGAGTTAACTGTATTTATGTGTTAAACAGTTTTCTATCCAGAGTTCGTGGATCAGCACATACAGTACAGAAGGAGAGGTGGTTTATAGATTGTAACTTTTCTTTTTTGTATGTGGATACCATTCAGATCAGCTGGAGGTGATTTCTCTAAGTAATTATTTTATTATGTGGCATAGCAGATGACAGACCTCTTTCACACTGAGGTTAGTGGTTTGCCAGCATGGCTGCATTTACCTGTTCTTATTCTCAAACATCACATTGTTCAGCTCTGTGTTTAAGGACAACCTCACCTCATGCAGTAGACGTCCTTGGTAGGACACTAGGCACCTAATTTGAGGGCTTAGTTTCATTAAATGTAAAATGACAGTGTCGAACTTATTATCCAATAAAACCCTTCTAATTCTATAGCTACATAATTATGATTTGTGAAATTCAGTAGATCAACAGATCTCCTTATGCATGCTCTGAACTCTGATCATTCTGAACTATAGCCAGTTTTCCTAAACTCACTCTACTCTACCGCTGGCTCAGGTGTCACCTCCTTCTGGCACTCCTCTAACCCATCATAAATAACGTTCAAGCTTCCGGAGCTCCTTGTGTTTTTTGTAATCCTAAGCATTCATGCAACTGCATTGGCATCACCATTTATGTCATGTTCCCTTTAATGTCCGTGCCTTTGATTGATAAAATAATGCTTTGTACATACCTGGTGTTCATTTATTATTGTTGGATGATTGGTGAAAGAACAAGTGATTCCCATTTCCAAACCAAAATAGGAATTTAGTAAGTAAGCATAGTAGTTTCTGACTTTGCTGCCCTCCTTTCAGTATCCAACACCTAAGAGAACTTCCTTGTTTATTGGCATTATTTGTGAAATTCTGGCTAAGGAGAAAGGTAGGTTCCTTTTGACAAAATGATTCTGAGTTATTGTTGGGAGGTTATATCG